CTTTCCAATTGATGTTCTAAAAAACAAATATGCAATAATTTATAATTCATACCCATTTAATTCAACATTTGAAAATAAACCAACTTTCTATCTATATTTATATTTTAAACAAATCAATAAAAACTCAGTAAATTAAAACAATTAACCATCATAAATAATAAAACTTCAAAATAAATTAAAAAGAACAATAAATCGTTCAAAACAAATTTAGTTATATATCAAACATGATACAAATAAAAAGAATTTGTTTACATATATATTTATTATCATTACATAAATTACCATAAATATTTTAAATGTTTACATATATATTTTGTATCAACGCGCATAAATTTATAGTGAAATGAAAATCTATTGTAATATATGATCAATACATATGTGTGATTAATTTGTTATATATAAATATATATTATTATTACTGTCTACATATACATTTTGTATCAACACCCATAAATTCATAGTGAAATAATGGTCTATTATAATATATGATCAACATATATGTGTGATTAATTTGTTATATATAATGTATAATTGTGTATATACAAAATTATTATCATACATATATTAATCATATGTTAAATATGTTATGAAATTACCAAAATTATAGGTTATCATATATTTATTATCATTACATAAATTATCATAAATATTTTAAATGTTTACATATATATTTTGTATCAACACTCATAAATTTATAGTGGAATGAAAGTCTATTGTAATATATGATCAATACATAAGTTATCATTACTGTCTACATATATATTTTGTATAAACACTTATAAATTCATAGTGGTATGAGGGTTTATTGTAATATATGATCTATACAAATGTTTAAATAATTTCGATTTAATTAAGCTATTATATTATTAAATTTGTTATACTATACATCGCTTGATTATACAATATGTTATGTTTATCAATTTACCATACTATATTTATTATTTATTAATTGAAATGCTATCTTATAATATTTAATTATTGATTACATTTAGAAAAATATGAAACTATAATGTTATTGGATTTACTATATTATATATCACTTGATTATACAACCTATTATGTTATTAAATTTGTCATACTAGTTATCATAACAATTTATTACTTTTTAATTAAAATGTTATATACTTATATATTTAATTATTGATGACATTTGGAAAAAAAAAAATCCAAACATATTTTATATATAAGAAAAACAAAAGTATCATAATATTTTATTATTAATTACTATTAAAAAAAATTCATCAAAACTAAATGAAACATAATATAAAAATGAAAAAAAATTAAATTATAATAATGCATAACATGTTTTTCGAACATAAACGAACGAACAATCAAACGATTGTTCGCGAACGGATGGATTAGTCGAACGTATAGTGTTCGCGAACATAATTGAATGAACAATCCCTGTTCGAATTCGACTGAACATATTATCGAATGAATATCGAACTATTTATAAATAAATATTTACGAATATTATCGAACAATAATCGAATGAACAACGAACGTTTGCGAACAGTTTGGTTCGTTTGTTGGGAACAGGAAAAAACATTGACATTTGATTTGATCTAATATTAATTCAATTAATTTTGCACACAATATTATGAATTACACGTGTATGAATGTAGAAATTAGCAGCATGAGTGGCAGTGCGCGACTTTCAAAAAAAGGATAGGTACTGGTTCCTCTGATCCACACTTTCAATAATTTTGGGGGGGAGGGAATTATTAGTATACGGCTATTAATAGTATGTATTTTGCAAACTGACAATAAACTACCCTCTGAATTTAACAATGGTTGGAAAATGTCACTAAATTTAATAATGGATGGGGGGTATGGCTATGGGCCCCCGCCTTATTGATAGGGAAAAACATTGACATTTGATTTGATGTAAATACTAATTCCAACTAATTTTGCATACAATACCATGAATTACACGTGTATGAATGTAGAAATTGGCAGCATGAGTGGCAGTGCGTGACTTTCAAAGAAAGGACAGGTTCTTGGTTCTCTGGTCCACACTTTCAATAATTTCAGGAACGGGTAGGAGGTAGCATAGGGACCAAATAAATTCAATAACGGATGGGGTACCGGTAGTATTAGTAATGACTATTAATAGGAAAATAGGCGACATTTGATTTGATGTAATATTGACATTATTCATTCATTCCAACTCCCCGGATTTATTACGTTAATCCATGAGATTGAGATACGGCTCTCGATTCTCCCTTAAAATGTAAATCGGTGATTGGTGGGTGACGAATGGCGTTTACCTTGACGGGTAGTAATAGTAAATAGTAACCCTGTACTCAATATAATAATGAACAATATTATATTTATAAAATCATAAAAAAATAAAATGTTTATTTTATATAACTTTTTTATAATTTTTATTTGATTATATGATTTAGTTGTAAGTAAAATATTGTTAATAAAATTAGCATGTGCAATAAATAATCCCACCTAACAATCGTCTCTACTTATCCTGGATAAAAGATGAAAAATACAAAATTGTGATTATGACGGGGAAGAGATTTTATTGGGACCAATAAATCAATTATTTTACCTAACGCCACTCTATGGGATTGGGATCCACAAATAATCGCATTTAAGTAGCCTAAAAGAAAATTGCTAAAACCATAAAATACAAAATTTTACATATAATGTTTATTTGTTAGAATAAAAATAGTTTTGTTTAAGTTTAACATGCGCAAACATTTAAGGCAATATTAAATGAGTAATGCTAATTTTACAAAGATATATACAAAAGGAGCATACAAAAATAATCTCCACTCTTGATTTTTTATGATTTCTTTCTCTCTCTCTTCCCTTTTTTCTTTGTTTTTTTCTTCTTGCTGATGTCACTTTGTACTCCTGTTTATATGAGTCTTTATAAAGATAATATTTTTTATATTAAATAACGACAAGTACTAGTCCAAATATGAAGTAGGTATTGATCTTGTGCAGTGGTGAACAGAATCCCAGGGCTCCCACCAGTCAGACGGTAAATTTGAAGATTCAAGTCACATGCACAACAACACAACACCGCTTAATACAAAAGGAAGGGGCCGGTTAGCATGTGTAATTATGAAACGATAGGGATATGAAATGACACCATTGAAAACTTTCCTGTACCGTACAGCTCCTCCTAGTATGGTAGATGTTCTTCCTTCAACTAACAATACAAGTTTCAACACTAAAAAGTCTTCAATGCTGCATCATTCAATCAGCATTCTAAAGATATATAAATGATTCTCGATTTATTAGTTGAATTCAACATTTCTTATGACAATGCACCATGGATACAGTTCCAAAATCGACTCAATTACTGCTAAGAAGATTATCAGCTGCATATTCTCTCAACATGCCTCGAAGAATCATGAACCATCTGGAGGGAACAGAAAATTCTCACCTAACTCCCAACTCATTATACTCACTCACCGTTGACCAACCAGATCTCAATCCATGATCTTGAAAGAAAGTTTCTAATATATGTGCTACATGATCTAATTATGTATAAGAAATCTTAGCCTTCGGAGTAAGTATTGGCACTTTCATACAGTGGCCTATGATGAAAATGGCATACCATTGTTGATAAGTTGCATAATTTGAGTGTTTTTAGGGTTGTTTTGATGTTAATTTAGTTAATTTCTCATTTGTTTTATTTGTTTTGGTGTTAGTTTTTCTTAAGTTTAAGATATAAAGGGTTAGCTATTGATTTGGATAGCTTTTGTGTTTTTCAAGATTTGATTGAGTAGATTGGAGTATTTGAATGAAATTGTGACTTAAAACTTGAAGAAGTTGAGACTACCTAACATTCTTGAAGGTAACGGCTATGCCTTGGTGATTCACCATGGCTATGATGGTGAAATTAAGATTAAACAAAGAGACTAGAAAGCACTACGACCTAAGCTGTGGTGACTTAAATTTGGCCACGACTAGGGCCGTGGTGAAAACTATTAAGGCGTTTTTGTCAGTTTTTCTTTCCTTTTTCACTTAAGACTCTTTTGGGTATTTAAGCATAATTGAGATTAGTTGTCAAGGGAAGAATTTTGCATATTTTGGAGAGAAGAAGACGCATTCTTGAGGTTTGAAGACTGAAGATCAGATTTAAAAGTTTGATTTTTGTTTATTTTCAAGTCTAAATATGTTTTCCTTCTTCTCTATTTATTTCTTTGTTCTTAGGATAGAGTAAATCTCTTTTATTAGGAGAGGATGAAACCCTAATTATGTTTTGAACAATTTTATTCTTAATACCAGATTTATGTTTATGAATTTGTGCAAGAGTTTAATTAGGTTTAATGATTTATGAATATTGGATTGATTCAATTACCCTGATGATGTTTCAAATAGAGAAGTTAAGATTTATTGCTTATTTCATATTTATAATTGTTTTATTAGAAAGCATTGCACAATGTATTAAATTAGAAGTAATCGAATAGAGATTCTATAATTAATTTGTGGTCCACCTAATTCATAACTGAATAGGGCGAATTAATCTTAAGAGATTGATGAATTTATGCTTCTTAATTTCAGAGTAACCGAATAAAAATCTATATTAAGTTGAATATTATGCCTGAATAAAGATAATTGGCCTTAGAAGATTTCTACTAATTTATAGCACAAACGGGTTTTAAGAGCAATTGTCAAACATAATTAGGGGGAAATCTGTACCCTAGCTTCATTAATACTGCAAAATTTTTCACATTATTTATTTGTTTAATTTATTTATTTTTAATCCGTTAGTTTTACCTTATAAAATTTTGTTTTCTCAAATAACTTGTAAATAGTTTTAAGTAATTACAAACATTGCTTTGATCTTTGTGAGACGATACTTAAACTCATCACTTTATTACTTAAACGCAACTAGTGCACTTGATAGGGTTGATTTAGTCGCAACAGTTGTTAACATGCATCACATTTCTCGGGAACATACTTTTATGTGTTAGGCTTTATAGCTTAGATGATGACTTAGCATACCTTACTGAAATAATATCAAATATTTATTCTTCCATGTCAATGCACTTATCATTTTTATCTTATTATTAACATGAAACTGAGGCTGATTTCTAAAGTAGAACTATTACACCAGAGATCAAAATACCCAAAGGTCATGAACAGGGGAAATATTGTTCCATGCGTGACATTAAGTAAAGGAATATTAACTACAAAAGGGGCAGGATGCAGTAATAAATCTAGACAGTTACTTCAATAAATTGAACCTGGCTAAACAACTATGCGTGCTCTATGCGTTGGACAATCAAGTTCAGTGCTGCATTTGCTGATGAGAATGCACCATGAAAGCTTTCTTGATAGGAAACAGATTCCAGTTCATAAGCCATCTTCAACAAAATCTCACCTAGATCTGTTTGTTTCTCTAGCAAAGATTCATAGTATGAGCGAGCAGCAACCTTACTAATCTCCACATTGGTTGGCTCGGGGCAGTACTCATCATCCAACCATTTATGCAATGTAACCCTAAGCCACTCTGATTCCTGCAAATCTAATAATTAGTGCGACCACAATACAACTAACTCTCCACAGTCCACATACTTTTTTTCTTTTTCAACCACAAATTCCTAAACACGAATGTGCCCACGAGCATACAAAGACAATAGTTGAAAATTAGCAATCGTCAGGGAGGATTATGAATGTTTTATTAATTAATTCCATCCAATTAAACCAGAGCTAGGTGGCATTCAGCCCATGTTGAAAGAGAAATTTTTAAGATATGCGTGTAAAATTAAATTAGAGGCAACCAAAATAAATAAAAGCATCTATAGTAATGCAATTGAATGAAAATTTAAACTGAAAAAAGAAAGAAACCTCTAAAGCTTTGGAAGGGAGGAGCCAATGGTCTGGCACGCTAAGTTCTTGAACCGGGGAATCTGGGAGTTGCTGTTCTTCATTGGATGGTGGAGTTGAAGAAAATCGAGAAGATGTAATGGTGGGTAAACGTAAAGATGGTTTTAACGGGAAATTTGGTAGAGAGGAGACGGGGAAACAAAGGGGAGGATGGACTATTGAGGTTGAGTTTGAGATGATTGCAGTGGATGCCCAAGACATAATTAGACATTTCATATCTTTGCTTCTTTGTTGACAGATTTTTAGGAGGGAAATTGTTGATGGCGGGAATTAGGGTTGGAATCTGATATGATTCTGATTTCTGGGTAAGGAGATATCGCTAGGGTTCAGCATGAGTCAGTGAGACTGTGACGACATGAAATAGTGCCGTTTTACTTTTTCTTTAGTTAAAACTTAAAAGTATGTACACCACAGAAATTATACTGGCCCTCTCCTGAGGCCTACTGTACTTTCGTTAATTAAATAATGGATGTGTAAAAATAACAATTTTGTTCCTTTATGAGTTACGAATTCAAGAAAATATTTCTCTGGTTATTTAAAAGGCACATCTCTTATTATATTGTCCACTGAAACAGAGAAAGTATATAATTGTTTTCCACATCTTAGGAGTGCTAAGTGTATTAAATTTATATTTGTAAACTGAAATAAATGTTCTGGCTTGTTATTTAAGATCTTGATTAGAACCTTGGTCATACCGGGGATAATCCCAGCAATATCACAACTGAGAGAACCACCTAAATAACTTAGAGCCAATGTAGAAGATAGTAAAATGAGGATATTTGTGGAGAATGATTCATATAAGTAGACAAACCAACTTTATTTAAAAGAAACATATAGATATAGTTATTTATCTAGTTGTCTGATATGATATAAAGCACACAAAAACTGTTTTCACACATTAAAATTTGCATACGATTGCCTTCTAAGAACAACAGTTAGGCAATGCATCACAATTTTAGGTACATATAACTGCATTCATATAAAATGCACTGATATATGCAAATCTGCGCAATTGACCTGAATTGTTATGATTATGAAGGAGGTGTTGGATTTGGTGAGCTCGCATTCTGCTCGATGTCTTACTTTGGGCATATCAACATCCGTCGTACCGCACACAGAAATTCCCTGCGCTTATAACATCACACAACAAATCAATTCGCCGCTAAATTTTCACATCAACAACATCCAACCACAAACACAATAACACCAGGTTTTGCAACTTAACTGCCATGGGTAGTCTCCAGCTACCATCATGTCCCCTTCATAATCCATGTAGGTAACATGCCACCCGCTGCTTCCATCAATCAGACTTCCCTTGAAATCAAACTTCTTGTCAAGCTCACACAGGAGTTCTTCATACCCGTCAAATTGTGTAAGATCAACAGATCTTCCAAGAACAGTTCCATACTTGAGCACCTGGAACATAAGCAGACAGTATTCTTCCGATTATTACTATATGAAGCAAAAGAAATATCTACTGACCCATGCGAAGGGTGCTCATGGAAGCAATTTTTAAGGAATTAAAAATGTTATGGTGGCCTGACTTCATACACTTGCGATAAGGAACAAATTAGTTTTCGGCCAACTGTCCATCTAGTAGATATACTTGTGTCTAATATTAATCATTGGCACGCATAAAATTTCAAGAACAATGAAGTCATTAAACAGTAATCTAAATATTTACTCCTGAAGCCTTTGTTCCTTTTAAGTTGCTTCTAAACTCACTGCAAAGGTGTACCTTGGTGCAACTCCTGAAAGAATGGCAATTCTTGCATTGCATTTCTGAAGGGTTGCCGGATACACTCTTAGATAGGTCTGAAACCTGGATGGTTTCAGAAACACTTGACTGAGATATTTGAGGGATAGAACCATGACTTTCAAGCTCAATGGAATTGGCAACTTGTGGTGAAGGGAGCTCCGGTGGACTACATTTAAATAAATTGACTCCAAAAAGCATGTATCTGCCGCCATCATTTGGTGGGGCAAGTGGAGTTCCATTTTCATCCCTGAGTTCCAAAGCCCTCCAATCCTGAGAGCCGGAATTCAGAGAGTTGACATCAGGAACTGACAAGTTTTTGCTTGATACAGCATTGTCATGAACTCCATAAGGTGCGATCATTGCGGGCCAGTGATTAGGAATACCCGAGCTTACTATGCTTCCACCGGGACTTGACTCTGCACTGCTGGGACCCCGATAAAATGGAGAATGCATCGGAAATTGCAGCTTATTCTCCGGCCCTAATTGCATATGGGCCCAATGTGGATCTGGTGGGGGAACAAAATATGGTAATAATGGTAGTTTTAGTGCGTCCAATTGCTTAACACCTGTTATCCTGCTTTCTTGACCTTGCAAGCCCCCTGAAGGAATTTGAGGTGATTGCTCAGCTTAAATTTAAAAAAAAAAAAAAAGCTTGTTAGAGAGTGAGATATTAGGTAAGGACTGCTGACCAATGCTAACAAAGGACGAGAATCCAGGTGATGTTGCATCAGTTGAACGCAGCCTCTTTATGCGGGGTAGAACAGAGGCAGGGTTCCTGTTAGTGCATTCTGTCATCGGCTCAATGTTCCAAGGTGAAACCCTTTCTGGGCGCGTTAATGTATCTGATCTGACATCCCATTTTACCTAAGAAGTAAAAATAACAATAATAAGCAGAAAAATAGCGATACAAGAAAGTGATTGTTGATCAGCATCTTGAATGGCATAAAACAACCGCTTACCTTGAGACGCCTCCATGCAGAATTAGGCCACCTATTTTGATCAATATCTCCGGCGCCAACAATAGTGCCAAATATTCTGGTTCAGGTAGTTACTATGTCAGTTCGGAGAAGCAAGAAAGACGCTTATTTCAACTTAACCAAAAATCTGTTAAAATTACTTTTACTAATCAAATCACTCTTCATTACAGTTTAAGTCATAGAAGCCTTCAACAAGTTTTTTTAACAGGTTTTAGTACAGATTACAGTGTTATTCCATTCCACTGGTAAATGTAAGAACATGAAATGAATTTAATTATAAAAGTGAGAGCCTGAGGGTCAAAAAGGCGTGGCTTGCACCTCTGTTCTGCACATTCTTCATCTTCAATTGCCATTCTAAATCTTGTCCCAACAGAATAGTTGATTTCAGCAGACCTCATGTAATGATCAAAAGGTACTATGAATTCGGCAGGGCTTGACCTGAAAAAGTTGAACCAACAACATCTTGTTTGAATTCAGTAATATGACTGCAGGACTGTTTATCTTCTACACATATTTATTTTCTAAAATTTTTGCTGCACTAACCCAGGAACAATCTCCAACTTACCAAGGACGGTAATAGACAGTAAACCTCGTCCCGGTAGAAATGGCATGAGAAGCAGTGGCAAGTATCCCATGTTGCATACTAGGGCCAGATATGATTGAGGTTGGCATATTGTTCTGTAGTTTCATTGTGCGGCGAACACCGACACGAAGTTCCCCATTTTCTCCTCTGAATACAATTATAATCATTATGACTCCACATAAGAGTAGATTATTTTAACCAAAAACAACTAAATGGTACAAAACGTTCATCTAAACCATGTTTAAAGTCAACACGATGTACATAAACATGTATATACATGACTTGTTCATGCACATATAATATACCAAATTGAAAAGAAAATGTTTGGTGTTGAGACAATGATTTAAGTGTCTCTATGTTATAGTCTCCATGAAATGCAAATCAAATGGCAAAGTTGTATGTGTAAGCAAGAAGGGAGAGAGAGCGCGGAACCTGAGGAAGATACATGCATCTCCAGCAACAAGCTTTTTTGAAGTCACAAACATACTCCAACCACTGGTAAGCAAATGCCGCTTTGGCTGACCTACATTTATTGCAGCAAAATGAGCAGCAGTTAAACTAAGATATGTACCACGTTTATAGGGAAATTACATATGTTTAATAAAAGAAAAATGAAGTAGAAAGTGTTCTCCACATTGCATATAGTTATGATTATAAATGTGAAATGAACTAAAATACTGAAAAACTTTGGGCTTTGACGAAGAAATAGGAACGGAATTTCCTCTAAAATACAGCAGTGACTTCTGTCAATGAATGCGAGTAAACTGATCCAATTTCAAGGGAACATCCACATTGTTTTTGCAATACAATGAACAACTAAAAGTAATGGTTCTCTTAATTATTCCAGGCAAAGGTGTTTTAAGTCTATCGAAGGTGAGGTTTAAGTACCACGATATATATGCCGAAAGTGCCATTCATACCCATGCAAATCCTTTGCAACCAGTTGCTGTGCTGGGGGATCCTTACTCATGTCCTGCAGCATATAACATGAGTTAATGCAATGGGGCTTAGCCAAATCATTTTATGCATTCTAGTAATACAAGTGATCCCAGACAGAAAAAGACTTCGATGTCGGATTCTACAAAGTACAGAACACTGGCATGATGCCGAGGAATTGTTTGTTGTATATCATTTCTATCAAATGATTTAACTAACTACCAGATTGGCGAGATTACAGGATTCTGTATTATTAGTGGACACAAAAGCAAGAGAATCCTAAATGAGCCTAAGCAGCTTTCCTGTGCATACCTCCTGTGGCCATGAAACTTTTAGGAAGTAATGAGAAGAATTTACAAGGATACTAACCAGGGGCGGAAGGCACTCATCAGCATGTCGCTTTGGAACAGAGAATCCACCATGAGTACTGGTATCAGAGGGAGTGAGCTTCTTGCTAAAGGAACACACATTAACTTTTGAAGGCGAAGGCAGAGAAGTCGCATCTTCCAAGCTTGGCTCATCTTGCTGAAAGGAATTACCATCACACATGTATATGTTACACCCACATGTATCACACAAGCATTTGGAAACAAAATACAAATGAGTCATTTCAAGTGAAATTCGCATAGTTATTTCAATTAAACATTTACATAATAAGATTATCATTGCTTTTAGAAAATTTTGAGGATCATCTAACCGTGAATGAGGTGGCATTAACTTTTAAAACTTGAATATAACCTTTATTTGCTTCATAAAGACCCCCCAAGAAATAAAAGTAAAGATACCGTTCAACAGTCAGAACAATTACGTATGAGACCTTCAAAACTTCAGTAACTAATTACCTCTGGCTTTGGAAGCAGAGTAATTTGAGCATATACCTCATCTGTACCAGCTTCCGCCTGCAACAACAACAAACCATCAAGAAAACGATGAAAAAGAATTTATATATTTACAAACTAACTCACAGTGTACTAAAGCCTTGAAATTTAAGTTGATGGTTATGGTGATATTATATGGATCAAACAGAAGTTTAAAAAAAAAAAAGGATGTGCCTTTAGTTGAACATAGACAACTTCACAGAGAATCTTGGAAGGGACTTTGTAAATGGGCA